AGTTCCTCTCTAAATGTCTTATAGAATTCAGTAGTGAAACCATCAGAACCTGAGCTTTTCTTAGTTGGTAAGTTGTTGATTTGGGTGGGTTTTTTTTTTTTGGTACTGGGGATCAAACTCGAGACTTTGCGCTTGCAAGGCAGGCACCAGAAGCACTGAGCTAAATCCGTGGCCCTCTTTCCTTTTTTTGATAAGGTTGGCTAAGGGTTTGTCAATTTTGTTTATTCTTTCGAAGAACCAAGTCTTGGCTTCAGTGACTTTTTTGTATTGTTCTCTTAGTCTCCATTGCATTGATTTCTGCCCTGATCTTTATAATGTCCTCCATTGTATGAGCTTTAGGTTTGTCCTGCTCTTCTTTTTCTAGAAACTTGATGTTCAGCCTCAGGTTGTGTAATTGAGCTTGCTCTGTTTTCCTAATGTGAGTGTCCACTGCTTTGAATTTCCCTTAAGCCTCTGGGTATTGCTTGTGTGCCTGTATAGCTCTTCTCCAGGTGGGTTCTCCATCTTCTGTGGCTGATATAATGGCAGGCCTCTAGCCGAAGCCCTTGTGCTTGTTCAGCTCCTTTCTGGGTGGGTCCCCAGCCTGGGCGGGTGTGCAGGAGCGTCTGGGTTTGGGGCAGACCACCGACTGGGATCCACCTGCAATCATGCCAGTCCGGGCCACAGAGCTGCTCCCTGGGATCCTCACACACCTAGGGCTGGAATGGCAGGCCTCCCAAGTTACTGTTTCTTGAGTCACATACTCAGTGAGATGCTTGGTTTGGGTTGCAGTGCTATGCTGTGTAAATAGCGCTTCTATGAACAGTGGAGTCCTACTGAATATATGAAGATACACACACCTGTAGAGGACCATAAAACTTAACTGATTAATTTTCCCCATTTTACTTTCTCCTAACTTACAAAAGGAGAATGAATGCAATAATGAGTGGAATTGCTTTCACTATTTTTTTGTTGGATGTCTTTTTACCTCTTTTAGGGCCCTATTTTAGTAAAACAGCACACATGCAATTTCTCTTATCAATCTCCATTTTGGCCATGCAGGATTCGCTATTCTATTGCCTGAGCTCAAGCTGGAGTACAGCTCACCACTAATTTGGTATGCTAATATAGAAAATGATTTTTGTTTTTAAACAATTAATAGAGCATTGAATAGCATTTTTCCAAATTTCTGATATAATCTATTAGTGTCTTAGTCATTTTCCTTGTCACTGAAACAAAATTCGCAATACCCACAGTTTGAAGGAGGAGAGATTTATTTGGGCTCATAGTTTCAGAAGTTTTACTCCATGGTTGGCAGGCTTAAATGCAGAAATGGCATGTTGGAATGGCCTGCTGTGGAGGAAAGCTGTTGTCATCCTGGTAGTCAGGAGGCAGAGAAAAGAGAGGAGCTGCGAGAGAGATAATCTTTTAGATCTCGCCCTCAGTGTCCTGCCTCTTTCAACTCAACCTACCTCTAAACAGCAAGTCAGCAATAGTTCCCCATAATCCACCTTCCAAAAGCCCTACCTTTAAGCACATGAAGCTTTTGGGGGACATCTAAATATAAATTATAACATTTCACCCTGGCCCCCAAAAGACTCATGTACATCTCTATGCAGAATACATCAAAGTCATAATAGTTTCAGCATTACTGAAAAGTTCAATTGTTAAGTCTCTGAGACTCAAGGCAGGCATTTAGCTATGAGTCCCTTTAAAAAATCAAAAATAAATTTAAATACTTCCAGTATACAATGGCACAGGGTAACCATTCCCATTCCAAAAGGGAGAAATGGGATAAAAAGAAATGGCACCAAAGTAAGACCAAAACCCTTCATGGAAAACAGTAAATCCTGTAGGTCTGTGCCAATGACCTAGGGCAAGATGTAGGATTTGAGCTCCAAAGGGCTTGAACAGCCCCACTCTATGGGATTGCCAGTTGCAGCCTGCATGGCTTATATTTTGAGGTGACTCCACTCATAGCAACTTTCTGTTTTCATCAGCAGACCTTCTGCATTCCTGGAATCTTCAGTTAACTTGTGTCTCCATTGCACTTTTTAGCTTTATTTTCATACCTTCACATTCTCCTCTCTCAGTGGCACATTGCCTCTGAGGCTTTCTGAAATTTGGGTGGAAGCCTCCATGACCCTGTAACTCTTGCATCTGCATGCCTGTAAAACCAGTACAATTTGGATGACACCAGCTGAGCACACCTTGGATCTGGCCCCTTTGGATCATGGCTATAGAGACCTCTAACTGCCTGGATAGCAGAATTCAGGGAACCCAGTCCCTAGGCCGCCCTTCTGGAGCAAGTGGCCTAAGAAGTCTCTTCTCAAATGAATGCTTTACAGTTTTCACCCTTGAGCCTGGAAGGTTAGTGTCTTGCTGATGCCTGAGATACATGTCAAGGCATCTTTCTTATTGTCTTCATGCACAGTACTTGCCTTTTTAGTGCTAATCCTTTCAGTATCCATGTTGTCCTTTGACCTAGCTTTGTAGGAGCTTTCTTTCTGATGAAACTGCAAACTTTTCAAGTTATTCAGCTCTGCCATTTGCTCCTGATACTATAAATCTGACTGACAGCAACCACCAGGTACTCATGCTACAACCTGGAACACTGGGCTGCTTTGACATTTCCTCCACCAGATTAATTAGTCTGCTCCTCTTAGTCTCCTGCAGAGTCTCAGAACATGGGCAAAATATAGACAGATTTTCTGCCAGAAACACATACGCTCCAGTTCACTTGCCAATGGAGTCCTTTTTCCCAGGCCAGGCTCTTTATTGTTCACCTTTCTATGAGAATTCTGGTCTCCTGAAATCCTACCAATATCACAAGTCAACCATCACTCAACATTCTAGGATTTCCGTATCTCCTTCTTCAGACTTTTCCAGACTTCTGCAGCCAAGTTCCAAAGGCTTCTAAATCACATGGTCATGTACAGTCACAACAACCCCACTTATGGTACCAAAATCTTAGTCATTTTCTTGTCACTGGGACACACTATCCAACACCCACAGCTTGAAGGAAGAGAGGTTTATTTGGGCTCACAGTTTTCAGGGGTGTCAGTCCATAGTTGACTGGCTCTAAGGCAGAAAGGGCATTGTGGAAGGGCCTGAATAGAGGATAGCTGTTCATTCTACCCATGGCAATGAGGAAGTAAAGGAAAACAAGATGAGCCAGGGAGAGAGATATATACAATTCTAAGTTACTCCTCCAGTGACCTGTGTCTTCCAATCTGTCTTCATCTCCTAATGGAACATTCAGCTATAAACTCACTAGTAGATGAACACACTAATTATTATAGCACCCCCATGTTCCAGTCACCTTCCAAAAGTCCATCTTTGAATACATGAGTCTTAGGGGAGGGTGCATTCTATACCTAAACCATAACAGATATCCGTAGTCATATTAGGGTAAAGTAAAACTTGTTGTTTTATAATGAATGCTTTTTCTATGAGATCTAGAATTAGAGAGCTTAAAAGAATTCTGGTTCTGTGGATTTTAGACTTTAAATAGGCCTTTAATAAAATCCACTCTTTCACAGAATCCCAAGACCCAAATCCCAGTTGAATTGAAGTCTCTGTAAGTGGCCTGAAGACATGCTTCTTACCTTTCAGGTTAACAGCCTTAAAATATCTCCACAAATCATGATTTTAAATTCACTAGTCTTGTTCAGCAATTTTGCAGATCAAGATGTGAAGGTGTATGTATTTTTCCAAAAGTTATACTATCCTTCTCCTCTTATTTCCATCCTTAGTACTTTACACATTGCCTGCACAAACCTTGATAAGTGCAAATCAAATGGGCAGCTAGATTTATAGCGGCAGGCAGAGGCAGGAGAGAGGTAGAGCACTCTGTCTTCTTGGATCTTCACTGACTGTTTTTGATACTAGTTCATATTACCATCAATTATTTTTATTTTCCTAAAAAATTGAAACATTTGCATGACTCTGGGCAAGTCATGTAGTTACTGTGGATCTCAGATTCTTATTTCAAATGAGGGTAAGAAAACCTGCCTCTAAAATTTTTCTAGAACTAAGCCAACAAATGCTCCCTTTAGGTGACCAGGCTACAGAAGAAGAGGAAGATGACTATTCCCATTGCACTGCAGAGTCTTTTGAAAACAAAGGCATAGACCTTGATGAAAGTGAACTTGATTCTGAGGCTGAACTCATGAGAAGTATGGGATTGCCACTTCAGTTTGGTAGGGTATCTGAACATAACAATTTTGAGGCAAGTATTAATATACTTTTATTATTTCTGTTTCTTGATTTTCTTCATAAAATATTATAAGGAATTAATTTCTTATCCCAAATCAAAATCATTCATGATTAGAACACTATATCTCTTTGTAAATGTACATATTGATAAGTTAACCAAAAATTGCAGGTTGTGATATGTTCCTTATGTAACTTTTCCACCTCTCGGAACTTAGCAAAAATCACTTATTCACACAATAAAAAGGCCAGGGTCAGAGTTTGAAAGTATTTTGTTTGACTTAAGGTCAAAATAGATTGGATTCTGGTTTTTATAGATGATGAAGTGTATTTTATATTCAAGTTATTATTTATCTAATGTAGGTATCTATGAATGCTAGAAATAAAGTTAAAGTGAAAAAGAAAAAGACAAAACATCAAAAGAAGTACTTAGATGAAATAATGCAAGAATCTTGGCGAAAAGAATATGAAGAAGATGACCTTTTGCTTTCAGATGATCCATCTTCAGTTGAACAGTATGAGAATATCAGAACATGTGAACTTCAAAGCAAGAAGGACATTAAGGCAGAAAATCTTCTTGTTGAAAATACACTATCTCCAAATCTAGAAATTACAGAGATATGGGAAAAGTATTGGAATAAATATGGAGAAGGACTATTATGGCAAAGCTGGCAGGAAAAACATCCAGATCAAACACTATCTTCTGAACCTTGGAACTTTCCTGATACAAAGGAAGAGTGGGAGCAACATTATAGCCAACTTTATTGGTATTATTTGAAACAATTCCAGTATTGGGAAGCTCAGGGATGGACTTTTGATGCCTCACAAAGCTGTGATACAGATACTTGTACAGCTAAAACAGAAGTTGACAATAAGAAAAATGAAAGTAGTGCAAAAATTGACTTAACATCTTTTCCATCTTTACCTGATGATACAGTTGATAAAGAAAGCTCTGGTTCAAGTGATCATAATGAAATACTTGATGGAATTAATAATATAACTCTGAGTTCAGAGGAAGTAGAACAAAGCCAATTAGATTCTGTAAGTTGTAATGGGCAGCTAAGTGAAGTTTACAGTGGGAAAGTGTGCCCTGCTTCTGGCCAAAATGAACCATGTAATGGAAGAACCAAGGCAAGCAACTTATCTGGAAATAGAAGTACAGACGAACCAGCTCAAGGTAAGGTTAGCCAGTTTGCTAAGTAATGGTTAGCAGAATAAATCTACTTCACTAAATATTTACCACTAACCCTTCATGGTGGAGTTAAATACCAGTTATATTTCGTATTATAATAATGAAAGTATTTAATTATTTTATTAATCTTATTTTTATAAGTGGTTTATTACCTATTTATTAATAACAATACTTGAATAAGATCCTCAAAAGTATTATTCTTTAGTCTTGTACCTTAGTGGCCAGAGAAGGAAAATTTTGCAAACCTCTTGAGAAATCTAACTTAGAGTAAGCTTGGAACTTTTACAGTTTTCCAGAGCAGATGAATTAGACAGGTTAACAGCATAAATTTGACATTAGGCAAACATGAGTGATGTGGAATTCATTCAGGACAAGTGAAATCTTGCTGTACAGAAAATATTAACAGGGTATGATATTTATAACTGGACAGATTGATTTCAGGTTTCTCATCAATAAAATACCCAGGATATAGACTTGGTGGACTCCTAAATAAATTTTTTTTAAAGTATTGTACAAAAAAAAAGTATTGTACAAACTGATGCTACTGTTAGAACTAAAGTAAGCTGATGAGAAGTGTGTTAGTATGTTAGAAATTCAGGTGGGATGAGAATGCTCTTGCCAAGAAGGTTCCCTTAACTGACAGTATCAGGGAAATGTGAGAAGAGGGCATTTTTATGACTTGATTTCCTAAAATCTTGGCATCCTTGATGTTTGGTGCTAGAAAAATAGTAGAATGACTTTCTTCTCAGCTTTGTTATGAAACAAAAGGTTATTTTCTTCCTTTTTATCTGATTTTATATTAGTCTTCTGATATTCTTCTGTACATTTCTGATATATTTCTGTGGTTATTTTGGCTATTAAATTTGTAGTGTACATATGGGACAGTGTGTTTGCCCCTGTTTCACTCCCTTTGTTTCTATGCCCTCATTTTCCTAATTTCCTTTTTCCAACCACAGTAAACCTTTTGACAGTCTAATCTGTTGCCAGTGTCTTAGTTAAGTGACCATTTCAGTGAGTCACTCCAGCGTGCCTGCTCTGTGGATCAGTTTGAGGATTTTAGGTTTTGATTTGTTTTAGCTTCTCCGTTAAGATCTAAATGTAAAGTGTATTTTACATTTTATGTAAATATGGTATCTACCCTTGGTAGTTGATAGTCTCCTGAGTCATCCTCTGTGAGAGCTTACTATTGTCCACCCAACAAGCACCTTTCTCCCCTCCAGTCTCACCTTCCCACTCTTCATTCTGAAAAAATACAGGACAGAGACAGACATGTGCCTCAGTTGGAGCTACCACAGTTAAAAGTATTTTTTTAAGGTAGCATTTATCTTGGTTACTTCCACTATTAAGACTATATTAAAGCACATATTTTTGCTTTGTAATGAAGCTATTTTTAATCAATGTGGTCATGCTGTCTCTAATCAGTCATTTACTAAAATTCTTGAGAATACAACTGCTAACAGCTATTACAAACGTAACTTTGTAGCCTAATTTGTGTAGATCTGGATAGTTAAGAAGTAGTTTTAGTTTGCTTTTTAAAGCATTCTAAGGAATGCATCGTTAGACTTCATTCTGAGGAATGCATTATTAGACTTCATTGCTGTCCAAGCATTGGAGTGTACTTAAGCTAAAACAGTTAAGACTTTCTAGACGAAAAAATCTTCTGAGACCACTGTTGCATATGCAAATATGTCACTCATCATTGACCAAAACATCATCATGCCTCATGACTATGTAGTGAGAGGGTAGAAATTTTTAGACACTATAAAGACATACCCACATTTTTTTTTCTCAAACTCTGCATGTAGAAACACAAGTAGATGTAGCCTGGCATTTTGCTTGATGCACACAGTTCATTGCAGGAAAGGCACTGAAATATTTTGACTGTCTTTGTAAGTAGCAGAAAAGTTACCACATTAAGGGAAAGTCCATTGCAATATCTATGCCTTTTTAGAGTCACAGGAGTCTTCAGGAGGAAACACGAGCAAAGGTAAACTGAACACCAACCAGACTGATGGAGATGAGAGTGAAGAAGATCCACCTGAGCATAAGCCCAGCAAGCTCAAGAGGAGGTAAGTTGTGTGATACTTCTGTCTTAGAAATGTGTTAGCTTATGCATTTGTGTCCTTAAGTGAGTGCTAATTAAATGCTTGTTTTATGTACAACTCTGCTAATCCTGTAAGAAGTGGCAAGATCTACTTACTAGTAAGACCCTGAGCTTTTGGACCCATTGTCACATCCTAAATTCATTTCTAAATTTCTTGTAAAATGGGATTGATGCCTGTTTTTGTATGAGATCACTGGGTAGACTGGAGCTAGCATGCAGTATGTCTGACCCTTAGTAGCTATCAGTGGATTATAACACTTAGCCAATAATTATATATTCCCCCCCTAGAGTTCTAATTTTTACTCAAAACTTTGGGTATATATTATCACATATTTTTTATTACTGAACTAGCTGTCAAGCTGAGGCTCTCATTGACTATGCTAGGAATACTGAGACAAAGATAAGTACCTTGTTCAGTTATACTATATAACAATGGCTGACATAAAACTAAAGCAACACTTCTCCAGGCAGTATTCTATTTGCTACCTATACACATGAAAGTAATGTAAAGTAGAATGTGCCCAAATGTTAGTGCTATAGAAAACAAAGAAAGGATGAATCATTACAAAATTCAAACCTCAGCCAGAAATCTTTTATTTCTCTCATAAGGTAAGAGGTTCTACATGAATTTTTTGGTCCATATAGCTTCTAGAAAAATAGTACGCCAGCTTTATAGTTCTAGTATTTTAGTATAGAAAGCATGCCTCTGCTGTATTCCCTCTACATGATAGACATTGCTTATTGATTCTCTAATTAGTTCCTACAAGTTCCCACAGGCAGAAACCATATGTAAGTATTTAGTTCCTATGACCCAGTAGGTACTCCATAAAATATTCAGTGAGCTTAATTTAATTGGAAGGCCAACTTTGTAAACATTCTCTTCATTTTTATATATGTGGGACTATGGTCAAGGTACTAAGTTTCTAAAAGATACCCAGTAAGTGGATTCTTCTGGGTTAAATAATATCCTGTGTATCAATCCCAACCTTATTCGTCATAATGACATTGTTTTCCTTGAAAAAAATGTGTTTTAGTTAGATACTTCTCATATTTCCTTGTTTTTAATGAAGAGCCTCTACAGAGATCACTCTAGGATATTGATTTCAGGCTGCACCTTTACCTGGTGTCTTTCCAAAGGAAAATGGGGCAATCTGTATATGTACCATGTTTAGGGCTAGAGATAATCACTTGACTTGAAGTAAAAATAAATACTATAGGGGCCGGGGATTTAGTTCAGTGGTTTTGCCGCCTGTTGCGCAAGCACAAGGACCCGAGTTTGATCCCTGGTACCAAAACTAATAATAATAATAATAATAATAACAACAACAACAATAATAATACTGTATTCCAAACACTGCTAGGTACTTCAAGTCATTTGGAAAATCCTGTTAAAGTACTTTTTCTCCTGGCTCCCTAGACTTGTGAACTGTTGTTGCTTATTGATATTTGCCTGAACTGGCAGGCTTTGAAGGTAATGGCTTATCATTATTTACTTTTTTAAATTTATTTAGCCATGAACTGGACATCGATGAAAATTTGGATTCAGAACTCGATGACAATGGTTCCCTTCTAGGATTCAAGCATGGCTCAGGACAAAAGTAATTATTCATAAAAGTTTTTGTCTTTTAGAAATTTTAACCACTTGGGTATTCATATAGGTAATAAGTGATACTATATTTGATAGCATTTCATTGTTACAAATCAGACACTGACTTCTCTTGTTAATAAGAATTGTAGTTGAGATATCACTATACATTTGATGTGTTCACTGTATTAATTCAATTGCACCTCATAACTATCTGCTGTTATTCCATTTCATAGATAAAGCAACTGCAGCTCACAAAGGTTTTTACTTAGTCAAAATCACATCATTTACCCAAGGGTGGGAAAATGATTTACCCAAATCCAGCTTTTGTATCTTTGAAGCTTGATTTTCACCTAGTTATATCAACCCTGGTGTACATCTAAAGACCATAGCAAACATGGCATGAAAAGTTCATATCTGTTGTAAACTTTTTCCTTTATATTATCAAAGTAGTAAAACTCAAAACAAATGAAAATTTTTCAAATCATTCCCATAGGTAGACAGTTTTTAGAGTTTGGCGTACATCTTTCCAAATTTACTAGGGTATACATGCATTACTTCCCTTTTTAAAAACAGAAATGGGATCATACTATACTTTGCAATTTACTTTTCTCCTTCAACAGCATGGATACCTTTCCTTGTTGGTACACACAACATTTCCCTTATCCTTTCAGAGTAGGCATTGTATTTAATTCACTATCCTAATTAACAACATCTAGGTTATTTCCTAAGATATGAGCGTTATGCCTTTGCAGCACTTCCAGGTTATTGCATACATCTCTCATTCTTTTTATTGCCAAGGAGTACCCCATTATGTGAATATATGAAAATTTGTCCAACCATTTACCTATTGAAGGATATTTGGAATGTTTCTAATATTTTGCTGTTACAAATAAAACTGCTGCATACATTTGTGTATAGACACCTAAGTTTCTTCTGGAGTTAAATGCCCAAGCATTAAATATAAAGAAATAATGCATTAAATATGAAAGAAATGTGAATGTATAGGTAATTATATAGGAACAACTGGCAATATCTCATACGCATCTCATATGACAGGAAGATTGAGCTGGGCAAAGCATACTAAAAGTATACTTTTTGATTGATTGGATTTTTTAGAGAAGGTCTCCCTATGTAGCCCAGGCTGGCCTGGAACTTTCACTCCTCCTGCCCCAGCCTCACAGGTGCTGGGAATACAGGTATGCACACCTCACCTGGCTGAAGGTATACTATTTATGTCAGTTTATACCAGTGATCTAAACCATTACTAGTCTTTCATATTTCTAAGTGTCAAGATTTCATATCTCAACACTTACCTATTTTATATGTTAGGAAATTTAAATAGATACCTACACATTATGAAGTCATCAGGAAGAGGATATGGGGAATGTCTCACAATTGATGTATAAATTGACCCCAAATTCATTCAAAAGTACTGTATATGCTGATAATTATAATACTGTAAATAGTTTCTGAAGTTA